AGAATGTGGCCCCTTAAAATTTGGTTTCCTCCCCCATCTCTCATCCTACCCATCATTTTCCCTAGTTCTCCAAATTTCCTACACTTTTCCGGAGTTTTTATGGAAATTCCCCGCTTTTTCCCAAAGACCGCCATCGAGCGGGAGGATGGAGTAAACAGCCTACACCCCTGAGACAGGAACAACCGAAGAAAATCTATAACTGAAAACATTTTTTTCAGACCTTCCTCTCTCTAAAAGCAAAGGCCCCCCCTCCCCCAGCCAGCAAAGGCGACCCTCCAGCTTGGGACACCCACCGTACGACGTTCCTGATCGTGATTATAGTGCCTCGCCAGGTACTCTAGCATACGCAATCTACTATGGATGGCACCACTTCATGAGATCCTTTACCAACCATTTTCATAGAAATTTTTATACGAAACTCAACAAAAGTGAACTGCAACATAAAGATACCGTAATACGAGAACTAACTCAGAATCTAAACGACGTCACAAAATTCCGTCTTTTTGATCTAAAATCGCGTCACAAATCACGCGCTTCACAGCTGCTGTTGGCATCTTTTTTTTCTGCTAAACATTACGACAAGGGAAATCATCAATAGAACAACGCAGCTTATCAAATCGGGCACATACGAGAACAAAACCAGAACTAAACGTGAGAAACACTGTCTAATGAAAAGCTGAGACGATGGCAAGACGTAGAAATAACACTAGCAAATCGAACAATGAAGACGATGAACAACACAAAACGTGTCAATTCTATCAGCTGGTGCGCTACTAATGAAATGATCCTCCTCTGTCTTCACTAGTCCCTCGGCAACATTGTGGCATGCGTCAGATAGCCGGTATGCGTTGGCTGACTAAACGGATAGACAATCGCAGCTGAACGGCCTGGCACGTGCGGCACCGGATGTCTGAAGAGTGCTCACATTAGATGTAAAGCTTGAACAAAAGCCTGACACTATTCATCCTTTGTCATTGAACTCTTCGAAATTGAGACTTAGTTTATCGCGAAATTCCTGAGGTAGATAAGGCTAGAAAATTATTAACTGGGGTAGTTCAACCCGCTGGACACAACACCAGAATGGTCTATGAGCCACAGATTCGTCTCAGCGCCTAGAGTTCGCGCAAACGCCAGCGAAAACCACTTTAGATCGAACTACCGAGAACATCCGAGAGCTTTAACATGCGTCAGAAGGTCAAGACTGGGCGAAGATCTCATTCCTCGACCCTGCCTTGCCATGGGACCTAGGGATGAGATCGCCGTCCCAGGCCACTCATCTCGGTTGTTAAAGCTACTCGAACGTTCCTACTACCAGCCGCGAGTCTTCAGCAAAGTTGCTGGTTTGGTATTTTTAAGGTCTCCTGTAACTTGAGCTCCAGCTCCAGGTGTTTCAACGTTTCAAGCTGAAGGAATTTAATGTTGAAGGGATCAAACTTCTTCAAAGACAAATTTTCCAACGGAATCTGCCCTAGTACACAGACCCTGGGCAAAATTGTAAATTTTTTAAGTGTCAATTTCTTCTGCCTCGA